GTTAGTACAGGTATCCTGAATACCCAGGAGGGCAGTGACACTCATCTAGGACAGAATTGAGAAGTTGTTCATGAAACTCAACTTTATGTTCTTCCAGCTTTTCCTTCTGTCCCTCTCAATCTAGCCATTTGTGCTCAATTCCCCTGGTTCAAGGGTACAGGCTTCAGATTCTCTTCTGCTGCTGTGGAGCTTGAGCACAGGGCCTGGGAGATTCACATTTGTAACATGCTCTGTGGGGGCTCAACATACTAATCCCAACTAAGAGAATGAGAGAGACACCCCTAGAAAGAGGTATAGAGGGCCCTCCCTGGTGGTGCAGCGGGTTAAAGCACAGCACGGGGAGGCTGGAGCCACTTATGCATGAGTTCGATCCCTGCCTGCCCCAGAGGTGACTCATGTGGTGCTTCAGACCTCTCCTGACCCGCCTGCTGCTCCGCTCAGCAGTGTGCTTTGTCAGTCTGCCTGTTTCTCTCCCCGCTCTGTCTCTGGGGAATCCTCTCACCACCCCTGCACCTCTGGCCTGTACCCAGTTCTGTATGCACAAATAAATAAATGTTTAAAAAAACATAAAAAGAGAGATGTAGAATTAAGGTATTTTCCCCTTCTACCTATTTCCACTGATATAGGGGCTCCAACGTTTCAAGACTGAATTCTGTAAGGAGGTTTGAGGTATCAGCTAGAGGTGGGATAGACTCTCTTGGGCCCTGCCTCCCCCCCCCCCCCCCCATTATGGGCTGCTGTGCTCTCTGCCTGTCATGGGCCTGTGTTTGTGTGTCTCTTCCCTTTCCTACAGAAACCTCCAACCCTTCAACTCTTCTGGGTAAGAACAACATGCCGGCAAGGTGGGTAGTGGATGTAGGTTCAGAATCACAGAATACCAGAGCTGAACAGAACCTGCCTATATCCTTTTATTTGAGAAATAGTCTGTAGCTTTCTTTTCCGGCATTTTTTGCGCCTGTACTCTTTGGGGTATTTTAACAGTGGTCCTGTTTTCCATTTTATCAGTGTCAGACAAACTGAGATATTTTAGAAAATACTGAACTTTAGGGTTGAAAATGTTATTTCTTTTCTTTTAGATCATCTCTAAACTATCTTTGTCCGCTTGTGCCCGGGAACCAGCCATGAAACAGACTTACGCCTTCGATAATATCGGCTACGAGGATGGTCTTGATGGTGTGTATGTTTCCCCGACAGCCAGCAGCACCATCAGCATTTTGGGCATGACCTGCCAGTCCTGTGTGAAGTCGATTGAGGACAGGATTTCTAGTTTGAAAGGCATTGTGAGCATTAAGGTTTCCTTAGAACAAAGTAGTGCTGTAGTAAAATACATGCCGTCACTCATAAGCCTGCAACAGGTTTGCCATCAAATTGAGGACATGGGCTTCGAGGCCAGCATTGCAGAAGGAAAGGCTGCCTCCTGGCCCTCAAGGTCTGCACATGCCCTGGAGGCTGTGGTCAAACTGCAGGTGGAGGGCATGACCTGCCAGTCCTGTGTCAGCTCCATAGAAGGCAAGATTGGGAAACTACAAGGAGTAGTGAGGGTCAGGGTTTCACTCAGCAACCAAGAAGCAGTCATCACTTACCAGCCCTATCTTATTCAACCTCAAGACCTCAGGGATCACATCAACGACATGGGGTTTGAAGCTGTCATCAAGAACAGAGGAGCACCCATAAGCCTGGGGCCAATCGATGTTGAACGTTTGCAGGGCACAAACCCAGTGACACCTCTGGCTTCTGTGAACCAGAATGTCAGTAACTCTAAGACCTCAGGACACCAAGCGAGCCATGTAGTCACCCTGAGAGTGGAGGGGATGCACTGTAGGTCCTGTGTCGTGAATATTGAAGAAAATATAGGCCGACTCCCAGCGGTTCAAAATATTCAAGTGTCCCTGGAGAACAGCACTGCTCAAGTACAGTATGACCCTTCTCGTGTCTCCCCGGAGGCCCTACAGAGGGCCATCGAGGCTCTTCCACCCGGCAACTTTAAAGTTTTCCTTCCTGGAGGCACGGAGGGGAGTGGGACAGATAGCAGGTCTTCCTCACATCACTCCCCCGGCCCGTCCCAGGGGACCCAGATGCAAGATGTATGTTCAACAGTGACACTCGCCATTTCTGGCATGACCTGTGCATCCTGCGTGCACTCCATTGAAGGCACCATCTCCCAGAGGAAAGGCGTTCGGCATATATCAGTCTCCTTGGCTGAAGGGACAGGAACTGTTGTCTGTGATCCTCTTACAGTTAGCCCAGAGGAACTCCGGGCTGCTGTGGAAGACATGGGGTTTGAGGCTTCAGTAATTTCTGGTATGTAGTTGATGCATTTGAGGGTTGTCTCCTTTTCTGTTTGTGTTATGTGAAGAGAATGGCTGGGCAGGTGAGTCATGCTACTGCGTCACCTGGTGACCATGGTGACAGAATTCTGCATCTTTTTCTCTACTTTTATTTAGAATTTCCAGGTGCTTAGATTTTGCCTTCTTGTAGCTGGGGCTAGCATTTTAAGCTCCTGGGATTTTTGGCTTCTTTGAAACAAGCTCTGACTCCATGTTCTTTTTTTTTTTTTTTTTTTAAAGATTTCTGAACACCAGACCATTTTCTCTCTAGAGAAACCATCATCATTTCATTCTTAAACAAAACAGTAAAAACTATTGTCTGACTAGCTGGTTTTCTGTTGAAAGTGGGATTGAAGAGATGATTTCCTTAGTGCCCTTGCTTGCCGTGGGCAGAGGTGGCATGGCAGCCTTCCCAGAGCAAGGGCCCACATGGTTTGATGTTTCATCACTAGAGAGGGTCTCCAGGGCAGCACACATTCAACTGCTGGGTTTCTTTTACATTTCCCTAACATAGGAGCCCTAAGGTAATTGGTGAGCTCCTGAGCACATGATACAGGGCCTCTTCTGAGAGCCTGTCTTGTAGGGAGAGGGAGGCCCGAGACAGTGGGACAAGCCCTGTGTAGGTCCACGTGGCATGTGAGCCAAGCTTGGGAGCACAGGAAGGGCTCCTCTGGGTTGGTGAGTAGGGATGATCCAGTGAGATGCAGAGGAACACAAACTTGCAGGTCAGGAAGCAGCCTGGAAAGTGACCTGCAGACCTGGGAGGCAGCACAGTAGAAGGGGAAAGCTGTAGAAGAGGGTCAAGTGGCCTCCCTGAGGGTGAGGGCTGGGAGGGTGGAGATTGAGGCTGGACAGTGGGTAGGTCCCCCAAGATGGATCCCTCATGTCAAACAGAGGGGAGTCAACAGTGATTTTTTTTGTCAAGAGGAGACACGGGCCAGATTATATTTCACAGTATATTTTAGAAGACCAGTCAGTATCAAGTGCAGTGCGGATTGAGGTAGGAGACCACATTGGAGACTGGTGAGAAATGCTGTTTGACTGGAGAGTAAGAGATGGGTGGGGCAAACATTCAGGAAGTCAACTCCACCAAACACAGTGTCAGATTAAGCATGTGTGTGATGGCTGAGGGCCATGGAGGAGAGGAACAGCGCTCAATGAGCCGAGGCGGGTATTGGAGGAGCCTTGAGTGGTGAACCTGGAATTCCAGGGAGAGAATGGGGCTGAAAGTGCAGGTTTGAGTCCAGGGAGCCATAGGAGTTGATAGAACTCTGGAGAAGAATGTGAGAAGGGGAAGGAGCAGAGGGAGGGATGTGATGACCCTGATGTGAAGGGAGAGAGGAGCATAGTGGGTGGAGTCCTGGAAATAAAGCGGCTTCAGGAAAAGAGCTAGGGGAGCCACAGTGGTTATGGAGTGAGAAGCTGAAAGTAAGGAGGGAGATAGTGGGCTTCTTGAGAGACACCTCTGTGACTGGTAGTGTTTGAACCACTCAGATCCCAAGATCCAAGCCCTGTAAATAAGTGAGAAGCAGGCTGCATGGGGATGCGAAGCTGCATCAGCCTCTGGCTGGCCCCTGCTGCTCTGGGGGCCTCGTTGGTGCCCTCGCAAAGACATGTTTGTGAGCCAAGCCTCCAGGCTATGCCTTAGCACCACTGGACGCCACTGGACTTGCATTTCCCATTCCGCTTTCTCCCGGATATGGAGACACCACGAGTCCGCTTGAGAACGGGCTGTGTTACGAGGTTTTCGTGTACGCGCCTTGAGGGCTGTGGGTAAGTCACGGGGAGTGACACGGCTCACTTTGTCCTTTGTCTTTTGTACCAACTTTCAGGAAGGAGTTTAACAACAGTCAATAAGGAAAAAAATAATAGAATGGTAAATTCTGTACTCAAAAGTTAAAAAATGTAGTTGTCATCTGTTCTGTTTGTGCGAAGTTTAAAGACTTTTAACATTGGATCAGGTTTTTGGCAGTAAAAAGAAATTTGCATTGAACCATACAATCCAGAAAAATTGGACTTGACTGCGTAAACCTAGAAAGAATAGAGGAGTGATGTTTTAGTTGGCAGAATTATGAAATTTATGTTCATCCAGGAGATTTTAGGATTTTAGATCTAGTAAATAAAAAACAAGACACCTCATTAAATTTGAATTTCAGGTAAACAAATGTTTTAGTGTAAGCACGTCTCATGCAGTATTTGGGACATACTTATAACAAAACATTTTTGGTTGTTTAACAAATTCAAATTTAGCTAGACAACTGGTATTTTACCTGGCAACCTTAATTTAGGATCAAGTGTTAGTATGCCCTGGTGACTCATTTTTATAGCCACCTAAATGCTAAAAATGCTTTATATGTGTTTGATGAGTCATTTTGGATTGTCTTGGGTTTGACTCAGGAGCACCCATGGCATAGTAGGTGTTTGTGAAGGAAGTGAAAGAGAAAGAAATGACTATGGCAATCAGGGTTATAGGGTGGCTCAATGGAGGGATTTAGGCTAGGGAACAATTGATATCTACAAGGATGTGAACAAAAAGAAACCAGAATGGGATGAAAACCCAAGCAATTAATAGTAGCAGAAACCACCACACCACGCTTAGAGATTCTGAGGGAAGAGACGTGTTGTGACAGCCAGGGGCTGAGGGGCCTCATGAGAACTAGCGCCGCTGGAGCTGGGAGCTGGCTTCCCAGTACACAGATGGGGGAACACTTTGGTTTTCTACCTTTCTGTCCCATTTACCTGTTATCTCACTTGTTTCTCACTTGTTATCTCCCATGTGACAAATTTAATCAGAAACCAGTTGACAAGGGAGCCTGGGGAAAGTGGCTTGCAGGGGTCAGCCCCCTGTGATAATAAGCAGGGGGAGGGAAGAGAACAATCTGAGAACACATGGGCAAGTGATAGACATTGGACTTGTCAGCTCACTTGACAGCTAAAGACCTGTTTTTTTTTTTTTGTCTAGAAGAGAGCTCTGCTTGTATTGCATAGTAAGTTAATTTTTGATGAGGTGAGGAAACGTAATGTCAGGTATGGCATGATCTTCTCACCCTTTTGTAGATGGGTTATGCCACTTTCAGAAGGCACTGTTCCCTTGTCTCAGCAAACCTGAGCCTTTGGGTCCAGGACTGTGCCGACTGATGCCGTGCTCAGAGGCTGACAGGGAGACAAGCACAGAGAGCTGTCACGCAGGTGGGTTCAAATAAGTGCAGCCAGGAAGATGTAAGTCATATGCTTGTGGGACTTGGAAGATAAGGAACAACCAGCTCCAACATCTGGTTGTAAAACTCCAAAAGACTTTGTGGTAGAGCTAACCCTGGATCTGGGCTTCGATAGGATTTCAGCTGGCAGAGAAGGGCTGGATTGCACACCAGACCGGACATGTAAGCACACACCTGAGCTGGGAGTTTTCTAAGCATTCTAACTTAGATGGAGCTTTGGGAATAAGTAATGGGAGATCATCAAATAGGCCAGCATCTGGGTCCAAGCTATCACCGTTTTCTAGATCCTGAAGAACCGCCAAACTGGACTTCCTGCTTCTTCCTTTAATCCTTATGATTTACTTCTGGCCCAGCATGCACAGCAATTCCCAAGCCCTCCCATCTGATATTGTAAGCAGGAGAGGGTTTCGGGCAGTCTAAAAGCCCCTACTCTTACCTATTCTTTTCTGACCCATTTCTATTCCTCTTATGAGCCTCACTGTCCCGTCTCTCTGAAATCTTTTCCCCCAAAGTTCACATGGCACAATTCATTTCTTTTGGACTTTTCCCAGAACATATGTAATATATATTAAGGAAAGAATGGGTTGTATGCATAGTTTTATCATTTCTTTTTCATTCTGCAATTCATCATAAACACTTTTATTAGGACACACTGTCTCAGCACTTATGTTCAGTGGCTGCATTGCATTTTATCACATGGATGCACTGTAACTTACTCAGTCAATTTTCTATTGGACTGTTCCAGTTTACGTGCGTGTGATTGTAAATAATACTGATGGGCATCTCTGGCACCAAATCTTTGTGTACCTACTTAATTGTTTCCTTATGATAAATATCTAAAAACATACTTGTTGGGTCACAGGTTGTAAGTGTTTTTGTTTCATTCTCTACAAATATTTATTGTGTCTCTATTAAATGCTAAGTGGTTAGAGGTACTGTTTTTGACAATATCAGCCAATAGATTTCTAGGAAGCTGAGTCAACTAATGTGCCCACCTGAAGTATTAGACAGACTGATAAAAGGACCCAGTAGCATAGACTTATTTGGATTTCTGATTATTTCAATTTTCTTGAGCAATTTTCAGAAGCCCAGAATTTAGTAGTTGTGCCTTAATGTTGGGGAATGACAGCATATAAATTGTAGCTTAGTAAGGGGGTGTGTTTTGCTTTATTGATTGATTTAATTTTTTAAAAATGCATTCATTATATCACCTTCATTTTTGTACAATGGATGGTTTCCCTGTGAAATTCCCACCACCAGTTCATCCATGCATCATCACCATAGTCCCTTGTGCTCTTCCCACTCCTGTCCTGGTCTTTCTCCCTCCTCCTCCCCTATAGAATGTTTCTGATTTATAGTTGTCTGATGATTTTAATTTTTACTTTATTATAGGTCTTTTTTTTTTTTTTCTGATTCCTTATGTGTTTCTCTACATTCAAACTCATGCCCTTTGCAGCAACATGGATGGAGCTGGGAGGAATTATGCTCAGTGAAATAAACCAGGAAGAAAAAGGAAAGTATTGAATGGTCTCAATTATAGAAGGAATATAGAGAAAGGGGTATGTTTCTTATTGCCATTTCGATTTGTGTATTTTTCCACACCACCAAACAGTTCTCCGATGACAGCCAAGTGGGACTCTACCTACTCAGAGATAACATCATGTCCCAGGTGAAGGGCTCAGTTCTTCAATAAGACTGCCTTCCATTTCAGGTGCCAGTATTAAGTCCAGGTAGCAATCTGTGCTGCCCCATGGCTACCCGTCAGTTTCCCATGACCCCCTCCTTACATTTGCTTAGTTTGCTAGAGCAGAACTTGTAAAACTAGTCTGCTAACAACTATTAGTGAATTACAAAGGTTGTAACTCAGGAACACTGGGTGGAAGAGATGCATAGGACAAGGCATGAGGAGAGGGTGCCGAGCTTTCCTTCCATGCCATCTCTGGGGGCCCATCCTCCAGTCCACCTAGACCTTTTGGGTTTTTATGGAAGTTCCATCACATTGGCAGAAATGATTAAATTATCAATCTTTGGTGACTAGCATTCTTCCCTTTTTAGAAGGCCGTGAGATAGGACTGAAAGTTCTTACCCCTCGTATCACATGGTTGGTGTTACTAGAACACAGGCAACCGGCCTCTATCCCTAGGTGTGGTCCACAGGTCACAATGTTAGCACAACAAAGACACTTTATCTTTCAGGTCACAATAAATTCCAAGGGATTCAGGAACTCTGTGCCAGAAATGAGACAAAGACCAAGTATATATTTATTATAAAGCCCACTGTCACCGTGGATGTGAAATTCACTGCAATAGTATGAATAGCCTCCAAACTGTTGACCAGTTTTGTATAGAAAGGCGGTATTTATAGAAAGCTGATGATAGACTGGAAAGGTAGGGAGAGGTTGGAAAGGTGCAGGAGAGCTGATGGATGTGAGAGGTTGAATCTTAAGAGGCTGTGTCCACAGAACTGATTTTGTGAGTCTGAGATTCAAGGGGCAGAGTTATTTTGAATAGTGACAAGCAGCTGGAGCATAAACCTGTGCCGAAGGTAAGACCAGAGTATTGGAAGTCTTTACTGCAAGTGCTGAAGTTGTAGATCAGCTGAACTCTTAAAAGTGAGTAGAAGCAGTATTACCATTTTTCAGAAAATTAACATTTTTCACAAAACCTCACACAATGTGTGAGATTTATGTAGAGGAGGCTAATACAGGCTAATACCATCTCTCTCCTACAGCTATGACTTTTCAAATAATGAGACTGATATAATAATCTTTTCAGCATGCTCTTACAGGTATTTTGTGTCATCAAAATGGCATGACTTTCTGAAGTAATAAAATCTGGTCTGTATCT